CCCCCCCCCCCCCCGCCGCCCCCCCGGCCATGTCGGGCCTGCCACTCTAGCGGTCGGAAATCTGTGGTCGTCACCTTGTGGGGGCTCGTGGGCAGATCCAGGGGCAGCGTCGGGGGACGCTGGTTGGCACCTCGAGCAGGGCTCTCCAGCCGGCAGAGCCCTGGGGACCCGACCTGCTGCGGTGGGCTGGGGACAGGGCTGATGTCTAGATGAGCACCAAAGTGCGGGGCAACAGCTCCTGGATGGCTGCAGGGACCCACATATGGAAAACATCAGAAAATGGGCTGATCTGCAGTATTTAGGTACGTTATAAAGCTTTTTATATGAACTAATAATTGCATCATTAACCAGGCGCCTGAAGGAGCAGAGAAATGCCTGCTCCAGCGCGGCTCCGTGCCCCCAAACACGCAGAAACCCTCAGCCCAGCCGTTGCCTTCTCCCCGTCCCATCACCGCGGGGTTTGCCCGTGCAGCCGGTTCCTCAAAGGCCTCCAGTTTAAAGCGACGTGTCTCGGTGCAGCTCAAACCCCAGCAGCACAGCACCCATCTCACCGCTGCTCTCCCTCCCCCAGACATGGGAACGGAGAGAAACCAGCCCCGCGAGACCTTCCCACCACTTCCTGGCGCGCTGGGTTTCCTCCAGCGAATCTCGAGCTCCCTCACCAACACACCCTCGGAGCTTTCATTTATTTCTCCTGCCCTATATCCAGCCTGAACTTATCCCCGTTTCGGAGGTCAGCGAGCTGCACACAGAAACGTTTGCCAAGCCAACATCTCCAGCCATTCCCCCTGAACTGAGCGGATCCTGAAGCCAGGATGCAGGCTGCCACCTTTTGGCAGAACCGAAAAGATTTCGCGTTATTAATTTATGTTAATTAAGCAAAGCAACGAAGTGTCCTCTGCATTACACCCAATTATGAAACTTGCAGATTTGCAGGTAATTCACTTATCTAAGCTTACATATGACTTTCAGATGTAGTCTTATTTTTGGTTTTGCTCTGGATTTAATGCTAGCAAAATTTATTGCAATTACAGAGTGACCCCTTATGCCAAATCTAACCCCTGCCAGGTTTGCATTTTTTTTTTTTCCAAAACCCCAACCAGAATAACAGGGCCCAGACACAGCAGGAGTTAAATAGCAAGTCGTGGAGGCGAGGAGCCGTGCAGGACCCCCAGGCTGAATACCAGCAGTCCCAACACCAAAGCTCACCAGGAAAAAGCAAAGATCAATCTACAGGTAATTCCAAACAGATAAAAACGAGGCTAATTTCAGAGAGAAGGTCTCTTGCAGGGTACTGCTACAGCTCGCAAGCTGCAAAATGAAGAATGATGCATTTACCGAGCTGGTCGTGCCCCCGGGACTCTTTACCACGGACGTGCACACAGCTGATTGAAAAGCAGATCCTCTCCCCGCAAACAGCTTCTGCCCTTCTCGCCTATGGGATCTCAGGACACCAGTGTGAAAATTGGGAACGGGCTGCTGCCAGCCTGCCTCCGTCACCAATGCCAGCCCCGTCCACCGGCCTCGGAGGGGATGCAGAGCTTGGGGATGCCGAGCGGTACCCACCCCAGCACCCCGCCAGGGCTCGGCACTGGGGGTCAGCCCCAGCTTTCTGGGGTTGCAGAGCATCCCTCTGAAGCCACAGCTTCAGATCGCCAACGGCGGCCGTAAGTTAAGTTCTCCAGAAAGAAACTTTCGTGCGACGTGGACACCCTTTGTGCTGAGCTCTGCCCGGGCTGCCCCGAATGTCTGGCCTCGGGTAACCCTTCCACGTGGCGGCCAAACCCTGGGCGCTGGTGACATCTCAGTGGGTGACAGCACCCAGCTGGTGGCGGCCAACTGCCTGATGCTGCACTGGTGACATCTCAGTGGGTGACAGCACCCAGCTGGTGCTCCAGCTGGTCCTCTCCCCAGCAGTCCCATACCTATAGGATACGTAGAGCCCCTAATGACCTTAGAGTGCTTAAATGACAGCACGATTAAGCCTAATGCACTGACGCAGTCCAGCGTGCCTCAGGCTCCGTGCCCACGCGAGCATCTGGGTGCAGAGCCACATGTTCCCTGCTGAGCTCCGTCACCTCGACCTGCTCCCTGTGCCTCTGGGTCCTACACAGCATTGGGGGATCCCCTGCAGTGAAAAGGGCCGAAGAAGGCACCAGCTGCAGCTTTGGGGACCTCAGTGTTACTGTTCCCTCCGGCTGAGCTCCGGGAAGGCGTGCTGAGCCCGTTTCCCAAAGGGGGAGGCGGGGGTGCAGTTCTGGGCTTCAAGGTCCATCGGTCTTGGACTGCCGACAGACCCAGGACCCTGCCTCGCTCTTTGGTGCAATTTTGCACCATGCCACGGGCGAGTATATCACTAATCTCATCCTTTTGTATTTGCGGTACGTAATCGGGGATTGCTTTGGATGGTTCTGAAGTGGAATGAATTCAGTAGGTGACATTAACATGGAGGCAAAAGCTGATGCTGCGCAAGGCGGAGAGGCTTTGCGTGGGCAGGGCAGCCTGGCTGCGGCTGCCTTCATGTCTGGGCAGGCGGTAGCAGGCAAGGGGACAGAATTTGTGACAAGTGCCAGGTCCCCCATGTGCTTATCTCCATCACCCAGGGCTCAGCGCCGTGCACCACTGCACCCGCTCCTGCCAGCACCGGTGGCTGTGCCGCGCCGGGCTGCTCTGCTGGGTGCTGCTGGCAGTTGGTCACGTCTCGCCCGTCCCCCGAGGTCCCGCGCTTATCTCCATCACCCAGGGCTCGGCACCGTGCACCACTGCACCCGCTCCTGCCAGCACCGGTGGCTGTGCCGCGCCGGGCTACTCTGCTGGGTGCTGCTGGCAGTTGGTCACGTCTTGCCCGTCCCAGGGACCTCTGCCCAACAGCTCCTGGCCCTGCCACGTGTTGGCCCAGCCACTCCATTTCACGTGGCCGTCGCAGCGAGAGGTCTGCAGCAGCTCATGCCTGTGCGGGAGGGCTGAGCGATGCCTCCCCTTCTCCCTGTACCCCTCCAAAGCAAAACCAGCCCCACCAAAACCTTACCTCGGCCTCGTGCCGCCTTCCCCAGGTCTGCGTGGGAGCAGGAGAGCAGAGAGGGCATCCTCGTCGCGGCGGGAGGATGCAGCCCCTCCGTGCCCCCGCTCAGCCCTTTATCCCCAGAGCTTTGCTTCCTCCTCGCCTGGATGCTCAAGTTCAAGGTAAAAATGGAAGCCCCTCCGGTTGGCGGCCCCTGCCCCTGGGGTACCTGTGGAAGTGATGGGACCCGACGGTCCGGGCAGCACCTGGGGAAGGTGGGTCCGGTTTCCCCAGCTGCCCGCCGCCGCCGCTTTGAGCCGGTTTTTTCTCTCTTTCAGTTTGCTCCTCGCCCCTTCCTGTGCCGCGGGTCTTGCTCGATCTTCCTTCCTGTCGGTGCAGGGCTGCCGCCTATGCAAATCGATGCGAGTTATCTGCTGAAAAACAGCAGCACATGGTAACCGCCCGTAGCCTGTACGACCCCCCGACAGCGGGGTCTGCCCTGGTGGGAGGGATGCTCGGTGCACGGCCGTTTCCCCAGCCACGGCTGCTTTCTCCCGGGAGAGCCACAAAACCAGGCTGACCAACATCCAAATTACACCGAATTCCCTCGAAGCAAAACCACGAGCTCGCCCTGCCCTGGAAGAGCCGAGGATTTTTGCTGCGTACCCCCCTTGCTAGCCAGAAACGCTGGGGAGATCCCATGGAAGAGGCTGGTGTCGCAGCAGCTCTGCCCTTTGCTGGGCCACGCATGGAAACATTTCCACGAGTAAATTCAAGTTGTATCTTGAAAGAGCAAGAATAAAGGGGCGGCAATAAACTCCCCTTCCTCCAAAGCCATTTTTCTGCCAGTGCTGAATGCTTTCTCAAACTCTGAGTTTATCTCTAAAAAGGTGGATCACATCACACCAAGGAGCGCTGCATCCGCACCCGAGGAGCCAGAGCCGCCGGCGGCAGCGGGACCGGCAGGATCTCCTCTCCCCAGCTCCACTCAGGCAAGTGGGGTTGATCGTTATTTTGCGGTTTTGTTCTACAAAAACCTTAATTTGTAAATCCCATAACAGGTTTTGCTGGCATTTAGGGCAAATCCTATTAATTCTGAGATGCTGAGCAGAGAAGTCCCCTGAAGGCGGGTGGGCAGGGTGGCACAGCAGCACTGAGACCCAAGGCACGTAACTCTGCTTTCCGTGAGTCCTGGGGCAGAGCGGCAGAGCCCAGGGAAGCGGGGGGGGAAGTGCATCTCACCAAAATAGTAAGATAATCACACGCCACGGTGGGGATTGCTGCCATCCCGGTTTATACCCAGCGGCTCATTTTTTGGGCCAAAAGCTCCCGCTGCCGGGGTGGTTCGGGAGAGGTCAGAGGGAACAGAAGTCAGTGATGAAAACAGATGAAAATAGCACGTCCCGTTACGAGACCTGCCCTGGTGGGATCTAGCAGGTAGCTCTAACGAAGCTGCATCTAAATCTATAATTACACATCTTTCCCTTCATCAAGTCCAGCTGAGAGGTGGTCGATGGCTGGTGGTGGAGATGGTGGTGGAGATGGTGGTGGAGATGGTGGTGGAGATGGTGGTGGAGATGGTGGTGGAGATGGTGGTGGAGATGGTGGTGGAGATGGTGGTGGAGATGGTGGTGGAGATGGTGGTGGTTGGTGGAGCTCTCATGGTGGAGAGCCGGTGGGGGAACGGGGTGGGCTCACAGCCAGATCATCTGCATGTGGTGAACTGTGTTTGGGGAGGAGAGGTGGCGGCAAGCAGGAGTTTGGACCTCCAGCCACCGCTCTGGGCTGCGCGCCTCCCGGGGATTGCTCTCTGCCGGTCCTAGGGCTGCGCCCGGTAAGGGGTTAAAACTTTTCCCCTCCCAAGCATTGGGTCTGTTGGTGATTTCCTACCCTGTCAGGAGGCTGGTTTCAAGAGGAGATGGCATCTGGGAAGTCCCATCAGCTGCCACCGTGGAGGTGGGTGGTTGGTGGAGCTCTCATGGTGGAGAGCCAGTGGGGGAACAGGGTAGGCTCACAGCCAGATCATCTGCATGCGGTGAACTGTGTTTGGGGAGGAGAGGTGGCGGCAAGCAGGAGTTTGGACCTCCAGCCACCGCTCTGGGCTGCGCGCCTCCCGGGGATTGCTCTCTGCCGGTCCTAGGGCTGCGCCCGGTAAGGGGTTAAAACTTTTCCCCTCCCAAGCATTGGGTCTGTTGGTGATTTCCTACCCTGTCAGGAGGCTGGTTTCAAGAGGAGATGGCATCTGGGAAGTCCCATCAGCTGCCACCTTCCCGATAAGCTGCAGCTAAAGATCCCTCACGTCAAAAATGACTGTGCAGAAGCCCCAGTCGGGGCTGTACCTCCTCCTTTCACCATTACCCATGTATGCTAATTAATGCATCTGAACTCTTTATTTGCAAATGTATGTAACATGTCCCTCATGTATTTTCCAGGCTGTTAACTTGATTCAAACCCAAATTTCCCAACATACTTACCGAGTTCAACCTACAGAGTTCCCAGCAGGATGAGTTTGACCCGTCCTTCAGCGAGCACAGCCCCTGCTCGGCTTCTCTGAACCGGCCCGGCGAAGCCCGTGAGGTGACACCGAACTCGCAGGGGTGGTTAGAAAAGCACCGGAGGCGACTCCGCTTATTTTGACTCGCCCGGGTTGCTTGGCAAGGGGGTGATCGGGGACCCATCCCCGAGCTCGGCCCGACGCAGAAGTCATTCGCCTGGGGATGACGAACCGTCCCATCTCCGGAGGGAGCAGGGGGATGCTCCTTGGGAACAGCCGGCTTTCCACCCCGTGAAAAACGCGCGAAGCACGGTACCGGAGGACCGGCAGCACTCCCGCTGTTGCAGCGCGGGGGTCTACAAGCCTCGGGATGACCCCAGGTCCCC